GGTGCTGGAGGATTGAACCGTGGTCCCTGTGCTTTGCTAAGCTTGTTTGTTCTAAGTAGGTGCTTTAGACCACTGAGCCATCTCACCAGCCCCTTAATTTAGTTCTGTTAGAGATAGGTATTCCATTACCATTTAAATAGTGTAGGTGCATGAATTCAGCAAAAGAATCCAAAAGAATCCAATAATCCAATTATTATCCAAAATAATCTATAACCCAGTAGTGGGTTATCCTCAGGACTGGCAATGTCAGAAGTTGTTGACTTGAGCCTTTCACAGCTCAGCATATTAATATGGCTTTACTTTTTGTACCTTATTTTTATACTGTTCTGCTGGATTGTTAAGAGATTATTTTAATAAAAATGGAAAGACATATCTTGTTCATGAATTGGTAAAAGTCATATTGTTTTAATGTCCCTATAACCCAAAGCGATCTCCGGGTTTAATCTAGTCCCTATCAAAATACCAAATACAGGAGTCCAGGCAGATAGCTCACGGCACAAGTGCCTGCCTGACAAGCGCAAGGTCCTGAGTTCAATTCCTGGTACCAAAAAAAGCCCACAAAATGCCAAGAATACTTTTCACAGAACTAGGAAAAAAAATCCTAAAATTCATATGGAATTTGAAAGACGTAGAGTAGGCAAAGCAGCTAGAGGCGTCACATTACCTACCTTCACATATCACTACAAAGCCATAGTAACCAAAACAACATGATTCTGGCATAAAAATAGATGCAGACGGGTGGAATTGAATGGGACACACAGAAACAGCCCTGAGCACCTTCAGTCATCTGAGTTTTGACAAAGGGCCCCTGAGGTTTCAAGAGCAATTACTCCGGAGGCAGGAAGTGGGCGCTGCCTGCTTCTTCCGGCCTGGATCAAGCTGGGTGGGTATTGCTGCGCTGATAAAATCATCACAGATGCTGTAGGCACTCAACAGGAGGGGACTTAGACGCCCACTCCATAAGAAATAGTTCCATCTTGAAGTCACCGCAACTTAAAAATCTTCTCATCTGCGTTTTCATCTCTACTTTAATTTTTTAAATGTATTTAGTACAGGGTCTCACTACACAGATCCGACTCCTAGTGATTCTCTTGTTTTCAGCCTCCCAAACACTGGGAATACAGGTGCACGCCACCGTGTTGTCTCAATTGCTGTCTCAGCACGCCCTGGGGTCGGGGCCAGCACAGCATGCAGAGGATGGAACCCTGGTCGCTTCACCTTGCCTAAGGAGGCGCTTTAGTCGCCTGAGCTATCTAGTCGGCCCATGTGTTTTCATTTCTTACCTTGAGTGCCACAAATTGATTTTACCTTTTGCAGAGATAAAGGTAAAGCTGGGAGAGGCACAGCTGTCTGTGTCAGGGGTCTTATCGTGGAATCAGTGTCCCTGGTCCCGATTCAGGGCTGCAGGAGCAAGCATCCCACATAGTGGTTTCCTTAGCGTCTGTTTCCCTGAGAATCTTCCGTCCCCATTTCTGCCAGCCTTTAAAATGAGAGAGACAGGCCAAAGAGAGTAATTTAGATTCAGGAAAATAGATTTTAGCAAGTGACCTGGGGTCAAGTGTAATGAGCATCTTTGCGGCTTTCAATTCCCTGGAGAAGTCTGTTTGTTTTCAAGAGGGCTTCTGCCTGGGAGTTGGCAGCAACTGTTGTCATACATTATTAGGTTATTAATTGCCAGGGTGCAGCACTCTGGATGAAGAGGCTGGAGGCAGTGGGGGCTGAGGCCCAGGGTTGCCATGGCAACCGCAAGGCCTGTGGTCTCTGCTGCAGCCTGAAGCAGGAAGGATGCCCAGCCACTCTGATATTTCTCAGCCCACAGCCTGTCCTGGCTGCAAGTGTCTCGTTGGGTGGGCAGCGTCCGTGGTCATGCAGTTTTGGATCAAAACCCACCCCCTTTCCTGTTGCTGCACATCCTGCCTGTCTCCCCCAGTTCGCCAGCTTCTAACCTCATCGTTGTGGGTTTCAGCCACACTTGCTTTCCAGGCAGGCTGCAGCAAGAAATGGGCTGCTGCGGAGCCGTTCATTCCAGCGTTGGGCATAGAGGGTGTGCATTGTCCTTGGCAGAGGACGACACGACCAGCTCCTTCTTCTTTGTGCAGCTCACAAGGGGGAGATGGGCGCTCATGGAGGATCTATGCCTTCACACACACACACACACACACACACACACCCGTGAGCTATAGGATGATGATTAAAATACAGTGAGCTCAGATTCTACTGGAGTCCAGCACTGCCACTTGCCAGCCACTTGGCCTGAAG